CAACCACAAGCCCTATTCGTAAAAGTACACAAAACACTCACGTGAAGCAGCCCGGTTGTTGTGCCCACTTCACCTACTTCACTCAATTTTTTTTTTTTTGCATATTTAGTAATACAAAAATGAAGCCAAAAGGGAAATAATACTAATGATACTTTAAGATCAATGTTAAGAACATTCTTCTATGATTAGAGAACTAATTTAATTAATTAGAAAAAGTATTGACTATAGGGATTTTATAAATACTCAAAGCATTAAATTATGAATAAAAATATTTATTTCAGTGAAGAATTTTATTTAAGTTATAAAGTTATTGGACAAATATATAAATTAATTATTTTTTTATTGAATTGTTTCATCTAATCATATTTAAAGTTTTAATTTTTAGTTTGATATTAATAAGTTTGATGTTGCTATGGTGCTTTTAGAAAATATAATAAGTTAACGTGTTAAACTTTTTTTGACATACAACACAAAAAAATAATATTAGCGTTGATATCAATGTTATATATATATATTATGGGTTATAATCCACTTACATAATGTAAAATTCTTTAGTTTTACATAGATTTAAGACCTTTGGATGAGTGAAAATAGATGGCTGAGATTAACTCATTTTTTTCTAGTTAATATCTTTTCATTTACTACTGTTAATCTCAGTCATCTATTTTCACTCATCCAACGATCCTAAATGTGAGTGAAACTAAAAGAATTTTACATTGTGTAACATGATCATATATATATATATATATATATATGAATCTCAAATATAATAATGTTTATTGACATCGTCGTTGCTTTCAAGTATTGAATCGACGGTATAATCTTTCAAGTACTGGTTCGACAGTATAATGTAAACAAAGAGTTGATCTATAAAATGTAACTCAAATAGTTTCGTAATCAGATTTTATCATATATCAATCAACATGTTAATGTTCATCTCAGACGACCATCAAATTTTTTAATGAAAAATGACGAGTATATAACATATGAATAGTCATATAATCATTTTATAACTTTTAATAGTCGAAGGACTCAACAAAGTAGTATCCTATAATTGAGGGATCATTTTATAACTTTTAATAGTTAAGGGGGATCATTAGTATATTTTACCCAAAAGTAAATATCCTTTTATTAATACAAAGATTGAAAGATAAGATAAGATATAATAGGATTTGAAAGTTTCAAATTTCATATTCCTTTATTTTTATTTAGGTTTTTATAGTTTAAATATTTTGTTTTAAGATAGCACGTGATGAGCGATAATTGATTAATCAAGGATAAATGAAGTGTTGAATTTGATTTGATTAGTTTATAATGATTATAAGATAATATTTATTTAAAATTTTCTTAATTAATTAACAATATATATATATATATATATATATATATATATATATTACAAACGAAACTGTTTAAACTCAAATTTTTTAAAACAATATTCCTTTCTATAACTAAAATCACTTTATTAAGATGAAACTTATTGATTGATGTATATGCTTGCTTTATTATACAAGTGGTATATATTATGATCCAAGAAGCTACTTGTATTTTAATGTCTGGAGAAAGGTTTTCTACGGGTTTACTCATGAGTGTGGATCCATATATCCAATTCAAACCTCTGCTTCACTATAATGTTTGGTTTATTATACTTGCTAGATAGATGATGTAACAAATTTTATATTTTTTATAGTCGATGTTTTAAAATTTTGTTTGATATCGAGCAAGCATATTTGATCGGTTAATTAAGTTGTTCATCTTTGTTTTTTTAGATTTCCTTAGGTCATGGGTTGTACACCTATTAGGAGCACTCAATTCATTCCCATATAATCCCTTATTCCCCTCTCCTCTATGTAGGTATGATTTAAAAACAAAAAAAAATTGACTAAAATAGAATAAAAGTGATAGTTCAAGTACTAAATGTATAGTTTATCCATAAATTTAATATAATAATAAATTTAATCTTTAAATTTTATATATTGTTTTAGTTAAATTTTATTTTTTAAAATAATATTTAAATATTATATCAATTTAATTGAAAATATAAAATCGAAAGCCTAGAAGACGGAAACATTCAAACCCTAAATGAAAAAATCACAATAAATTCTGGTGCAATATAGTACGCACAACTAAGAATGTCACTAAGCTGTTCATCGACGGATGGAAAAACACAGAATATATTAACAAACCAATCCAATAAGTTTTAATTATCGAAACATAAGATGATTTTACTTTAATGATGTGACAAGTTAATCAGCAGGTTTAACTTTTATTTTTACTCTTAAACTTTAAATATTTAATTATAAGATTTTTTTATAAACTCTAAGTAATTTAAAGACAAGAGTTCAATTTATCCCCTTTTTAATATGTTTTTCTTTGACTAGCACCTCGAAACCCAATCTTTCCTCCACCACTTGTGCAACATACCCCATTCTTAGGATTCTCGCTATTCACAAAAAAAGTTCACCGATGTGCATAGTATATATTTTTAATAGTATGAAAAAATTACAACGAAATATCTGTTCAAAATTTTCTTAATATATTAACAACATAAACAAACCCTACAAACGTCGCTGCTCGAATCTATTACCTCTAAAGAAATTAATGTTTACTTTTACTATTTGAATCACTTGATGAGTCCGATGTGGTTAGTTTTAAGTAAAGATTTATGCTACATCATGCATACAAAGATATCTAAAAGTTCTGGTTCAGTTATATGGATCAGCTTTTCAACAAAAGAAAGACTAGCTTGAACATTGCAGAATAGAAAGAGGCTCCCTGTGCAGCAAGAAACTCAGCTTTAAGGCCAGTATATAAAATAAATCATTTGCCTTGGTTTCCACTGTTAGCTTTCAAAACTATGTTGTAAACGTATGCATGATTGCACTTTTGGCTAATGTCGGTGAATTGCTTTAATAAGGTTGCTTTCTGGATTCTTAGTATATCAAATAACTGATTAGGATCCTATAACTCAAAGGGGGCGTAGGAAGATTAAGGGGGAATACTAACAAACAAAGGCACCTGGGTCGGAGTTTGAAAATTAAATTTATTATTATATCAATTTTACTAATTATTGTGTTATCTATTATTTTTTAACGATAATGAATAAAATTATTATTTTTAAAATCGGATACCCATTATATAAAAAATTGAATGACTATTATTATTCAACTTTTTATAATTGAAAAATAAAAAGAAGATATGGATGTTTCTTTATATTTTTGATCTGTTTGATTTTAATTACCGATTTAAAAAATAATAATTTTAGTCTCTTACATTATTGGTTCGTTCAATTTTAATATGTCGACTGTTAACTACTCTTAAACCCTCCGTGAAAGTCTAAGTTGACAATTAAAAAATAAAATAAAACTCCATATGCCTTCCTATTCTTCTTTTATTTCCCCCCTTCTCTCTCACACCAATCACGACTCACGAGCTGGCGACATCTTTTTTATTACAATTAAGAAATGGACCGATCCACAACAACCACTCTAACCCAATCTCGAAAGATTCTTGAAAAAAATAATCTTAAGCACCATGAAAAGGAGAGCCTCCCACAATCTCCATATTTAGCACTGTTTTGAAAATTGATCGAATCGGTCGGTTTAATCAGTTCAACCGAAAATCGTTGTATTGTCTTGTTCATTCTATCCCGGTTCAACCGGTTTTAGTGAACCGCAGGAAATCATTCGAACCGGTTTTGAATCGTTCGAACCGGATCGGACCGTGAATCGGTTCAACAATTTTTTTTGATTTTTATTAAATATTTTATATATTTTTATTTAATTTTTTAAATAAATATGACGTCGTCCGGTTCTTATGACCGGTCTGACCGATTCGACCGGTTTAACCAGTAAACCTGTAGCAGGACCAATTCACTGACCGGTCCGATTCTAAAAACTATGATATTTAGGGATAAACTCCTACGTTATTTTGAAAATTTAAAATTATTATATATTTTAATTTTTATATATTTTTATTAAAAAAAAAATTTTATCCTTAGAATTTTATAACTTTATCCCTTTTCTAAAAATTTAAAAGTTTCCTTAACATAAAATTATACTTTTTGTCATAACCATCTTCATTTACTTCATCAGTCAACTCTTTTTTTCCAGTTTTTTCTCTGAATTTCCTCTCATTTTTCACATCAAGAATAAAATGTTATCGTTCAAGCAAGAAGATTATTGTTATGCTTCATTCATTGTTTCATCTATTTTCGACATTCTTTTCTTGATTGTTGGCATTATTTGACATTAATAATGAGAGACTTCTATTCTAACAACTTTACTTTTTCTTAAGGCTTTGACGATGACGATGACGACGAAGAAAATGAAGTTGGAGTTGGAGGAAAACCGTTGAGTATGGCTGGCACTAGCTAGCCGTAAACACAAAAGGTTATCTTCACAAGGGGGTGGTAGTACGACAAGAGGAGGATTGAATTCTTGAGTATATGATGAAATAAGTCATGCAGAAACAAGAATTAGGTTATGCTAGTCGACATGCGTTTAAAATGGGTGAGAGAGAGGGAAGGAGAAGAAGAAGAAGAAAAAGAAGAACACATGAATTTTTATTTACTTTTTAATTATCAACTCATACTTCCATTAAGAGATTAATAAAAATTAACGATTTAGAGATTTAAATCAAATAGACAGATAATATAAGTGATTAAAATTATTTTTTTAATTAATGATTAAAATCGAACAAACTAAAAATATAAAGAACCATATCTATATAATTTATCCATAAAAATATCTCATAATCAAAAAGTTTTTTTTTCTCTTTTTATTTTACCATAATAAATATGATTTGATTTATTATATTAAATTTTAGGAACGGATGATACATACCTTTCAAAACTTAGAAATACAAGTATTATAGTACATACTAATAGACGAGAGTTTGGAGGTTAACTAGAAAGTTACTTGAAATCCGTCCGCCTAACTCATTTAAAATCTCTTTAAATCCAAAAACAAAATAATAAAGATGAAGAGTCCCCCTCACTGGCTTTTCTACTTCCGCATCCCCTATACATTTTCCAAGAAAAAACCTCGTCATTTTCTCATCCATAAAACCACAAAAAAAGCCCATCTTTTCTCCTTCCCCCACAATTCCTCGGTTGACTCCTTGTTATGTAACATCAGCTGAAACAGTAAATCGCCATGAATGCTCCAACTAAGCTTGCAATAGCCCTCATCGTCATCTTCGCAACGATTCTTTTAGCACTTTTCATAGAGCTAGTTTACGTTCTTTGGCGTAAACGAAGCTTCAGTCAGCGCAGCGTCATCAGCGGCGGCGCACGTTCCATTGAATCTGATTTTTCGGGTTCAACTTTCTACGCTGCTCCCTCTAAGGAACTTCTCTACTTCTTCTGCTGGAAAAACCATCCGGCTCGTGTGGAGCCCTCCTCTGGGGTGGTGTCCCCGACTCCAACGGAGGCTGCTACGGCGCCGGAATCGGAGGTAACCGCGACAGAGGACGAAGACAACGAACTGGCGGCGTGGCAGGCGTTGTACGGGCAGTCGAGGATCTTGTATACTATAAAAGAAGAGGAACGAGAAGGGAACGAGAGCGTCGAGAATTCCGCTGATCAGAGTGAAGCGAGAAACGAGAAGCGGGCTTGTCCGAGGGACTGTTTGTCGGGTGACGTGGTGGTTGCAGTTGACTCGGAGACTCCGCTTTCGACGCCATGCGCATCGCCTCCTTACTTCACACCGTCCCCGTCTCCAGATCGTGATCTTGATTCAGGGCTTTTGATATTTTCACCGGAAATGGATGAAGTAATCTCGCCAGAAAATGACGTATTGTCAGATAGAGAAGTGGGGTTCGTGAGTTTAAGAATTGAAGGGTAAACAATTAGTCATATTTAGCATGTAATCAAATATATTTCAATCCACTCCTTGCGTCGATTATTGCTGCTAATTTTCCACCGAGTCTGTAAATATGTTTAAAAACATAATTTTGTCTGACTTCATGAATACTAGCTATCTGTACTTTAATGAAAAAGGAAGTGTAGATTGTAGAAAGGGTAGGTGAAGCAAGTAAAGGAGAGGTGAACATTAAAAACTGGTACGATGCTCAAAAGAAAAGGGAATGGCAGACTCTGCAAATACACAGAGGGAAGGGCCACTTTAGTAGGGTAGCCCTTTCCCGTTACCGTGCTTTGTGACTTTCGAATGCGCTAATTCTATAAAGGCTAAACTTAGTATTTAGTGATCCATCTAATTTTATGGTTTTGTTTTTATCATTCGATTAATTTTTTTCTTAAAATCATACATTAAGTTCTGTCTTAATCATTTACCGTTAAAAAATTAACGGTGATATTAATATGCCATCATTAAAAAAATCAAAAAAAATATTAAGTCAGTATTTTTGTTTATTTTTTAATTACGGGTGAACAAAATAGAATTAAAACATGATGTTAAGTATAATTTAAAAAAATTGAGTGATCAAAATTAATTTGTAAAAATATATAAGTCACCAAATACATAATTTACCCTTTTATAAAACACTCTTGTTTCTTTCGGTTGCTCCGACTAAATGCTCATCGAGACTTTTAACATTTTTCTCGTAAATAGTAATAGAATCAGAGGATTCCAATTTTAATTACTCTCGTTACTGTTGTGTGGTTTTATATATTTTTTAACTTTAACGTTTTTCTCGTAAATAGAATTAGAAGATTTGTGTTTTTATATTAATATTTTATTGAATTTTTAATTAAAAAATCATTTACTAAAAGTCAACCCCCTACCTTGCCAATGAGAGGTATAGGCAAGAGGAAGACAGACCCATTTTTGAAGCTCGATGAGGTCAGAGATAAAATTTATTTCCTGGAGAAAAATATGTTCATTGCTTGAATTCAAATATATATTGGATGTCGACAAAGGTTCTGCAGCAGTTATTCAAGAAAATGTTCATTCTCACATAACTCATTAAATATCACATTTTTATTTTATTTTTCTTTTTAATTTCTAATAACTATGTCTCAATGACACACTTTTTTCTACCATTTTGGCTCATTTTTTATATTATCCATAGATTGTTTGCCTATTATTTTTTATTTAATTTTTTTCAAGGTTTGATTTTACGTCATTTCGATTAATCAATATGACGTCGTCTCAATAACTTTGATTTGTGATTATCGGTGGTCTCTAAGTAACTTGATCTCATGTTGTGATTCGTTTGTTAGTGCAATAAAATATATTTGCATCTTTATTTTGTTCAAATTTTTTGAATGTATTTATAACATCTTCCTTTTTTTTGTCCTTATATAATCTAAATTAACTAGATTCATATCAATAACTATAGAAAATATCCTATTTATACGATTAATTTACACTTGTAATTGTAAAATTTTGTTATAATTTTAATTTTTTCTTTTTAATAAAATTAATTGATTTTATTTGTATAAAAATAATAAAATATTTTTCAATTGATATGGTAGAGTGGAATCAGAACGTCTGCTTTAGTGCTTTTGTCGCGAACATTTTTCTTAATAACAGGATATAGTTTTAGAATTGTCTCAGGAAAAGCGAGTTATAGTTTTCCATGTCAGGAATCAAAAGAATTGGATGACATATTTGACTTTCTCCAGTTGTCCATCCAAGTGTTAAAATGGTAATTGTCAGATCTTATCCATAAGCATGTTCATCCATTGATTATAGTAAGATAACTGTATTTGTATCTCTTTTAAATTTACTTGATATTTTATATTTGACCAAATGACAATATAATCTCACAAATATTAAAATAAATCAAACAATCAGATAAAATACATTTAGTCGATTGATGAAGTTGCTTATCTTTGTTCCCTCATATTTTCTTATATTATATATCTTAGATTCATTAGGAGTACTTTCATTCATCCCTCTAAAATTCTCGCTTCTCCTACCCTTTAAGTAGAATTAAGATTATATTTAAAAATTGTACATAACCAAGCAATCAATATTATTAAACTTTTAAAATTTTATATGTATGAGTATATGAAAATATTATTTGTATCAAATAATTTTAAAAATATTGTTTAAATGATGTCAACTGTTTTTTTTAATAAATTTTAAAATAAAATAATAAAATAATTAAAAATCATTTAAATATTATTTATAAAATATTTTTACAGATAATAAATTAAATAATAATTTATAAATAAAACATTATAATTATTTTTTGTGATGGAAGGCTGAGCTGTACACACACAAATATGTATTTGCTTGAAGTTGGCAGTTTGATTAGGAAAATGGCGTTTTCAACTGTTTTGACCAGGCTCATTTTGCCACGCTTACAACTCCATTTAGCCTCAAAATGACTGGACTCCCAATGGTTCTAATGTTTAATATTTTATTATTTAAAATAACATTCAAGTTTTATTTTATATTAATATTTATAATAAAACAATACAATTTAATTTTTAAATAATAATTCAAGTTAAAAAAATTATATTACATAATCCTTTTACTTATTTTTAGTATGAGTTGAATATAGTAAAATTAATAAATGATTGAGTGTTATCTCTTAATAGATATTACATTTTACTTATCTCAAATTAATCATAAGGATGATATTGGCACACTCAACGAGTATAGATGAACACCATTAAATTAATTTATAAAACATTAAATTATAAAATATTAAACATTTAATTTTAACTTAGTTAAAAATCTAAATATAATTTAATTAAAATATAATATTTATAAAATATTAGTTTTTAGGCTAAATTATATCATTGACCACCCAAGTATTTACCTCTTTTACTTTAACCACTGGTTTTTCAATTTTGTCAATCGGTCACCTAACTATTTAAATCTTGTCAATCAAGCCACCTGCCGTTAAATATTAACGGATGAGATGACGTGGCAGTTAATAAAATTTGTATGATTATACATTTAGTCCTCATTACTTACACATTCTATTAATTTGGGCCTAACTTTTATTTAATTCAATATATTTAATCCTTAATTCGAAGGTGACATGTGTCATTATGTGATCCGATTTTTTTAATATTTTTTATTTAATACATTTTTCATCTAATCAAATGGTTCCACGTGTCACCAATTGAATGAATGAAAAATAAATTAAATTAATAACCGCTACTAGTGGGGTATGAACCTGGGACGCAAGCTGAACAACTGAGCGCCCTAACCACTAAGAACCTTAACCACTAAGCTAAATCACTAAATTTATCTAGTATACAGAACATAATCTATATAATTTATAATATAGTTAATAGTAATAATGACTCAAATATGAAATAATTGAATAATATGAAAATATAAAATGCATATAAACAAATATTATAATTGATTAATAAATGAATATGTTTTATTTATATTTTATGTAAAAATTAAAATAAAAGTGAATTTAATATGTTATAATTGAAATGTATCATTTTACATATTTTAAATTAACAATTTGTCTTCATTATTATAATTTTATTGAACTTAAATGTATCATATCTTATATTTAAAATATTATAACGTCGATCAGATTCTAATATTATTTAATAATTCTATATTAAAATAGACTAATTCAATAAAATCAAGTTTACCCTAAAATTTTCTTCAAATATATAATGAATATAATATAAAATTCTTACTCTAATCGTGATATAAACAAGTTAATGCATAAGTTAAAATGCTTACAACGATAAGCATTCAACTATCAGGAAAATTCTAAGTCAACGAAGCTCTTCATTATATTTCAATTATTTTTATTTTTATTTTCATTAAAATGATTTAAAATATAAATAAAATGCATCCACATATTAATCAGTTATAATATTGGTGTGTGTGTATATACATTATCATATTATTCAATTTTCCATGTTGGAGTTCTTATTTGATCATTTTCCATTTTTTATTATCATTAACTATATATATTATGTCGTGATAGGTTTGTCATTTGAATTGTGTTGTCCAGTGGTTAGGGCGTTTGCTTCCCCTCCTCACGTTTTGGATTCAAACCCCACCAACAACAATTACTAATTCAATTTATTTTCTATTCTTTCAATTGGTGATACGTGGCACCATTTGATTGGATGGAAAATTTATTAAATTAAATAAAAAATATTAAGAAAAAAATCCAATCACATAGGGATACATGTCATCATCTGATTGAGGATTAAATTTATTGAATTAATTAAAAGTTAGGATCAAATTAATAGAATGTGTAAGTAATGAGGACTAAATGTGAAATTATACAAATTTTATTAATTGTCATGTCATGTCATCCGTTAATATTTAACTGCATGTGGCTTGATTGACAAGATATAAATATTTAGGTGGCCCGATTGACAAAATTGAAAAATCGATGATTGAAGTAAAAGGTGTAATTAGTTAGGTGACCATGGTATAATTTACCCTAAAAACTAATGTTTTATAAATATTGCATTTTAATTAAATTACATTTAGATTTTTAACTAATTTATAGTTCAACGTTTATTACTTTATAATTTAACGTTTTATAAATTAATTTAATGATACTCATCGTTAATGATGCTCATCCACGCTTGACGAACGTTGTAGAAATTTTCTAATCACAATAATATTAATAATAACTGTCCAATTGGAGGGCGTGATAAGCAACTTCCATTGAGAAGTAAAATTATTTTGGTGTTAAATAATAGGGTAAATTATGTGTTTAGTCACCTAACTATTCAAGAGTTTATTTTTTGGTCACCAAACTGTTTTTTTAAAAATCGTAACTAATATTACATTTTGGTTTTATTTTGATCACCCACCGTTAAAAAAATTAACAGAGTTACCGTCGAGACAATTTGTATTTTTTTTCGATGATGACGTGGTATTACCTTATAGTGACACATCAGGATGTTAACATCACCATTATTTTTTAACAGCATGTGAATAAAATGAAACCAAAATGTAACATTAGGTATGCTCGTT